TTTTTAAAACTACTGAGAAAGCATTTACTACAATTGAAACTTTTGCTCTTTCACATAGATTCAGGATTTAAAAAGAGCATGTTGAAAAAGACCCAAAAAATGGACATGAAATTTCAAGAATGTTTTTATATCGTCATATCGAAAAATCATTAACTGAAAACAAATCTCATAAAACAGAGACATCTGGATTATGTCAAACAAACTGTAAATGGAAAGTTAATATATACTGGAGTAAGTGCTTACAACAATATTATCTTTCCACTTTTACAAATATTTATACTAGTTATACACTTGATCCAACATCTATAAGATTTATTTCAAAAAGTCGAAAATTAACTGATGAAATGTTAAAAGAAATTGAATATTATACTTTAGTTAGAAAGCTAACTGCCAGTACTCAGTATCATCTTCTTTCTGGAAAGCACAAAGTCCCAATTCATCATTGTAATCTATATAATGCAATTTCAAAATTTAAAAGAATCAATTTTCCTGAAGACAACGATGCATCTAAATTATTGACTAAATTACTTAAAAAAAAGATGATGATTCTAGATAGGTAATAGAATAGCAGTTTGACATAAATACTAATGCATTAACAAATCTTTTTTGGATGTCTTCTCATCAACTCGACCTTTGGCTTTGGTATAATGATATTATTTTCCACGATAATACTGCAAAGACAAATGTTTATAATATGCTACTATCATTATTTATTGCTATAGACAATACCTATTAATTTTGTATTATTGCGCAGGCAATATTAGATGATGAAACGACCAAATCATATTCTTGATTGCTTGAAGTTTTAATAAAAGTGACAGATGGGCTTTATCCACATATCATTTTAACAGATACCGATCCAGCAATGAGTCTCGCTCTTTCAACTATTATGCTTTCGACTCAACATTTTCATTATATTTGGCACATTGGCCAAAACTTACAAAAAATTTCAAAAATAAATTAGGATCTGATTGGAATCTATTATTAAAGATTTTTATAAAAGACCCAAAAAATGGACATGAAATTTCAAGAATGTTTTTATATCGTCATATCGAAAAATCATTAACTGAAAACA